ATTGAAACTACCGCGAAATCGAGTTTCACGAGTTTCTTAGCGAGCGGAGCGAGCTTTTTAGGTCGCGAAGCGGCCAAGCAAGCGACAAATTCGCGACCGGTCCCGCGCCATATAAAAATCGGACGAAGGACTTTTTTGAAAGTCTATTGTAGCGGGAGAGCAGCTTCAAGAAAAACTCCAGGAAGCGGTTTGTTGTCGATTTTTCCAGGGAAGTGTCGAACTTTTAGAAAATGTATCGAGTAAAAGTTGGCTTGGCTCAAAATGAAAACTGCCCGTCGCAAATAACTAAAGATGCTTTCTCGACAACAGAAGGATCGAACAGAGCAGAGCGTTCGAAATAAATTGCCGGATAAATTGTTCATCTGTTGTTGGGTTTCGTTTGTAACCTTTTCCTGCTGTGTCACTATTGTTGTCCCTTTTCTGGTATGCATCAACTTTGACAGCTTTGGTGTTATAATCTCGTTACGGCAATACGCCGCCAAAAATCTTTTTCCCCTGTTTTCTCGAAATGAAAATTAGAGCAAGTTGAGGGTACGTTTTAAACTCCAAGTCGGCAACCCGTGAACCAATTTGGCTGAAATTTGGCCAACTTACTGTCAGATAGTTTTTCTAAAAAACCGTGTCTGCGAATTTTGATTTCTTTTTTCGTTTTCGAGTAAGAGTATTTTTTTCACAGGTAGTGCTAATGATTTGCTATCCCTAACTTCAACTGCTTATAACAAAAGAACAAGACCACTTTACAAAAATCTGAGACACGGTTTTTTAGTCAAACGTGTTAAGAAGCGAATGCGATCTTAATTGGCTTCTTCCGTTTATTTTTGGCTAGCCTGGACTTAAATTTACAGCGACACCCACTTTCACAAAAAGCTACTCATTTCTGAATCGCGTTAATATTTTGATTTTTTGAAAGGAATAAGCAATAATCTGGAACTATTAAGCTTTCAGAAAATGTACGGTTTATGGGGGTATTTATTAAAAGCAAAAGCACTAGCGCCGATCAACGCGGGGAGGGTGCTTAAGGGTGGATGATACCTTAAAAATACATTAAAATTAAAAATCTGATGGTTAAAAAGATTTTTTAAAATGTATACATTAAGTGCTTATAATTATAATTATTATTACTATAATTAGTCTGTTACATCCGTGCACGGTTGATAATGTAATCTGTGATGAGGGAGCTTATAGCGATTGGAGGATAACCCGACAGCTGAATTCTAAGCCCAAGTTTCCATGCAACACGCCAATGACATTTCAAAACTCTTAACCAAGCCAACAGTTTCATAAAGCAACGTGCAAATGGACGCAACTACTCCCAACAATGTTGGGAGATGTTGGCCAACAATGTTGCGTCCGTTTGCACAGGGCTAAAAGCTGGATAGGTTTCAAACTTTTTATTGCGCAACAACTTCCAACAACACGCAACAGGGACGGACGACACAAACGGACGCCACATGTAACATCCAACAATGTTGCTTCCGTTTGCACGGGGCTTAAGAGGGGGAGCACGGAGGATCATGAAGGGGTATAGATTGCTATTTAAGGCTAGGACCCAATTACTCGGAGTCTCCAACTTCCATATAAGTCCTTGGAGTCAATCCTTTCCCGTTTTAATTTATTTACAGGAACAGCTTTCGCAGGATATTTTTCACGCCATCTTAGTAACAACCAATCAGACCAGCGTTTGGGCAGATGACCGCGGAAATAGTCTTTTTTTGTGGGAATTAAAGTCCTAAGAATAAGTTAAAACGGAAAAGGGTTTACTCAAGGTTATGGCAGATAATGGGGCCTCCGGGAAATTAGCTCCTGTTTAGGCTAATTTCCAGTGGAGGGTTGGGAAATTTCATTCGCATCACTAAGGAGGGTCAACTCATTATTTCATGCTAATTTCTGATCCTGATAACATATGTTTTTAAGGTGGGTCGTGCTCTGTTTGACTTTGTGTGTCAGGAAGAAAACGAACTTGCCTTTTCGAGGGGAGATTTAATCAAGATTACAGACACAAGTGATGCTCACTGGTGGCACGGTAAAATAAACGACAGAGAGGGTATGTTTCCAGCAAATTACGTGCAGGTCATCACGACAAGATAGTGCCGGTAAAACTGCGCAAAAAATCATGTTTGTACTCAGGGGATCAGTCTGGAACCGGTGTTTTGAAAGTATGGTATAAATAAAACATAACTGACACAAAGAAGGGGGATATGCAATTTCACATTAAAAAGCTGGAGTTCTGATTTGACGATTTTTGATATGTTATAGCCACAGCTCTGTAAGTCTAACTGTAAGTCGTAAACTATGTCGGATTCATATGTTAAAGGGGCTGCACCGTCACGGCTGTCTTTTTCATTTTGTTACATGTAATATTGCCTTATGCGCTATGAAACTTGAGGTTAACAAAGAAGTTACTTGCAAACGACGAAATCACAGCTTTTTGTATAAGGAATATACCTCCCAAGCGTTGTATCAAACATTACAAACAACAAAAATGCACTTTGAAAAACTGTTGGGTTAAGTTCTGAAAAACCCACACTGATTTCAATCCGTTTTAATCTTCTTCAAGTTTGTCCATCCCTGCCTACTTTTGTATTTGCTCTGTTATTAATACTTTCTTCTAATGTTTTGCGCGATTATTTTTCTTTCACTCAATTTGGTGGCAGTTTCACGGTCAGTAATTTGTGACACCGCTCCTTTAATATGTGTTATTAAGAGCTGAGATACTGAACCCTTTTGTCCCTAGGCGTCAGCATTAAAATTTCATTTCGTGAATAGTCTTGAGTTACGTTTAATGTTGAAATAAAGAGAGCTCGTGGGCAAAAGCTTGTCTCACTCAAGGACAGTTAAACCCTTGACAGTGTTCGAAGGCAAATGTTAAGTATTATTGAGAGAATAAACACATCTCCATACAAAATTATTCCAACACTATTCCTTTGTACATAAGCTTCTTTCTTTTAAGTTTACAATGAATGCTGCCTCTGTTAAGCCTTTTGCACTGTTCATTGTTAATATTTTTTTCTATGTACAATGGTAATGATCATTTTGTAACTNCAAGGACAGTTAAACCCTTGACAGTGTTCGAAGGCAAATGTTAAGTATTATTGAGAGAATAAACACATCTCCATACAAAATTATTCCAACACTATTCCTTTGTACATAAGCTTCTTTCTTTTAAGTTTACAATGAATGCTGCCTCTGTTAAGCCTTTTGCACTGTTCATTGTTAATATTTTTTTCTATGTACAATGGTAATGATCATTTTGTAACTTTTGTCCCTTTTCTTGTGTTTGTTATTCATTTGGATGTAAATATGGTAAAAAAGTGTTGTAATAAAGAAATATTGAAAAACATTATTTTCCTCTTTTTTTCTTCAAAATCTGTGTCAACAATGTTGTTTTCTTCCTGTCATAATTTTGTTACATGATCTAACAAGCTACATAGTATTGGAACAGCAGGCTGATTTTCAACTTGACTGTACTTCTCTAAAGAAACCTCTTTCCTAGGAGAAAAACCACACCATGGGCCAGAGTTTGAAACCCCTCTCCACATGCCGTCTCACCCTATCCACACCTCCACACTACCCCCAACCCACCACCCCAAGGATCCACTCAGGAATTTTCACAGGCATGCATCATTTCAAACCTTTTACCAAGGGTATTTAAAAAAAACAACAACAACAAATGTTTGCACTTGATTGATTAGGTGTGGCTGTAAAACACCATTCTTTTTTCACCAAAAGCCACAGGACGTCCACTTCTAGTGCTTGAAATAATTTTATTATTTCCCAGCTGTAGCAGGTAAAGTTATCTGGTCTGAAGCTCGTCTATATTTCCCTCCAGCTAGTACAATAATGGAACAATCCTGTATCGAGATTGAGGATATTCCTTAAACTTCTTTTTGTACCAGTCATGTGTCACTGTTGCTCCAAGAGAGAGGTTCTCAACTGTTAGAAGCAAGATTAAGCCAATGTAAATATTCTTTGCTTTCTGTAGTAGAAACAATGATATGTAAATCATGATTTCTGCAAGGTAGTGAGGGCTGGAAACAAACTCAAACCAGTCTCCATAAGGTATTCTGTAGACTTTCCTTGCCTCCATGCTTGGTGAGTGCCGTAACTTTGCTAGGATGTTATGACACCTCCACTGATGCAAACTTGCCCATAAAAACATAGCTACGGCAAGCCACTGGTACCAGGAAAAGTCTTTGAAGGGACGTCTACAAGAATTGCACCAACCTGTTTTGAAAAAATAAAGTTATGAGCAAGCAAACAATGTCAGGTTATCATGCAGTAGTTACAGTTAAATATAGCTGAATGATAAGATAATCAAGCAGTAACAAAAGCAGGCTGCTCTTTCTCAAGGCCTGGTGTTGGATTCTTTTTCACTTTTGTTCTATCAGTTGATTATGTTGCAAGATGAATCTCTTGAAGTGACAGTGTAAAATCAATTTACTTGGCAATAGTTTTATCCTCTGAAATTATCAAATTAAGTCACTAAAAAAATTGGGTTGTAAATAATCAGTGGACATAATCAAAATTCTCAACAAGTTGTTAATTCTAGCTTTAAATGGCTGTCATTAAGCAGTGAGGGGGTATTTGAATGTTTCTTCACATAAGGTGCACTGATGGGATCAATAATTGAACGTTTTAAGATACAGTGGAACCCTGTTAATACGGTCACTAATAATAATATTGGCCATAAAAATTTGGCCGTATTTCAAGGACTGGCTCAAATTTCATGACTTGAGGGCTGCAATGACAAAATACACCGTATGTCGCATTCACCATACTGTTCTCATTAATAAACAACCGGAATGTAGATATCACGTACAGTATTGAAAAAACTACTTTAAATTTTCCTTTAGTACCCCATGCCCTGCCTCCCCCAGTTTTACATTGATAGGTGTACTACAATAGTAGCATTTTTTTCTCCCTTCTTATATAAAGTTGACAAGAAGATTCACCTTTGTCGATTTGTTCTGCCTTGAGAAATGGGACGGCAACTGCAGCAGCATCCAGAATGTAAAATGCTATACCCACAAAGTACTGTAATATATGAATCCTACTGGAGAATACACTGATAAAACAACACTCATATAATCTGCGACATGTCTGTACCAGTAGAAGAAAAAGAGATACAAAGGCAGTGAAGCAGTCAATATGAGGAGTAAAGTGAAGGCTTAGTATGTGAGACATTGCCTTGGGAACTGATGTGCCTCCATGGAAACAGTGAAGAACTAACATCAAGAGAAGCAAACAGGACAAACAACTTCCAACAACATAGAAATGAGTAAACCACCTGTGAAAAAAGAATAATGTAATTGTTAAAAAAAATCCATGCAGAACAATAGCCATCCTCAGAGACCCAGGAGCAGATACTGGGGGCAAGGGAAAGTCTAAACGGGCGGAAAAATAAGGCAAGAAAAAAATTAAAGAACGGCGAGAAGAGCCCCTGGGGACAATGTCTTACCAGACCAGTTCCAAATGGTCGCCGCCGAAACCTGATTGGTGCCAGAAAACTTGTGTTTTTCTGGCACCAATCAGTAGCCAGAACGGCAGCGACCGTTTGGAACTGGTCTGGTAAGACATTGTCCCCAGGGGCTCTTCTCGCCGTTCTTTACTTTTCTTCGTGCCTTATTTTTCCGCCCATTTAGACTTTCCCTTGCCCCCACTATCTGCCCCTGGGTCTCCGAGGATGAACAATAGCAAGCCCAGTGACAGTACACTTCGGTTTTTAAATAGCATTTTTACTGTCATAGTAATTTAACACACTGAATAAAAAATGCTGTTAAACTTCATAACCCATAGTTTTGGTGGACTTTTTTCCATCTGTAGTTAGCTTATGTACTTTAATAGCCCTTTCCACCAGAGGTCTTTAGGGGCCTGGCTTTGTTCTTGGGAGGGATAAGCTTGGTTTCCTCCAATTTAGGTGGCACTCTTTATTTCTTCACACATTGATCGTCGCACAATCTGTCTGACTCTAAGATCAATAAAGCCAGTCTGGTGATCGCCAGAAGCTGGGTCTAACTTTCACACCAGGCAGTATCCTATTTACCAGTGAAAACTGTTTTTTTTGTTTTATTGCCGTAAAGAATAGGAGAAAAAATCCCACTTGCCCGTGAACGTACATCCTAAAATTAATATTCAACCATTTTTCTGAGACCCAGTATTAGTTAGTCTCCTTTGCAGCCACTAAGGACAGGCAGCTTCAAGGAAGACATGGTATTAGTATGAATAATCTAACAAGCTGCATAGCATTAGAACAGCACGCTGATATTCAACTTGACTGTATCCCTCTAAAGGGGCCTCTTTCCTAGGATTAACACCACAAATCTACTACCTTAGCCCTGATTGTAGTCCATGGGCCAGAGATTGAAACCCTACTCCACCTTACCCTCTCCACCCCCACTGCCTCCTCCTCTCTCTTGTATCTCATATAAGCATGTTTAAACATGATTGATCGGTGGGTGTGGCTATACAGCAATCTATACAGCACTATTCTTTTTTATTTTTACCAAAAGCACCACCTCTGTCATACAAACCTTAGGCTTTTGGTTAAAAAAAAAAAAGAATGGAGCTGTAAAACCACACCCACTGATCAACCACGCGTAAACTATCTTTGGTGAAAGGCTTAAAAACAATACATGTCTGCAAAAAATCCTTGAGCTCGGGAGTGATTTGACCTTCTGTTCCACGGACTTCACGCCACTGAACAGTGTAACATAAATATCCTCTAGACATTTGGAGTTCTATTCCCTATCTCAATCCAAAGGAAATCTTATTGTTGCACCTACTTAGGCCATGAGGTTTTAGTAAATGGAGTGAGCTTACCCTCACCTCCCAACTATCTAATACATGAGTACAAAAGTTCACCATATATATCACCTGTTTGGAACATGTAAAATCTGAATCAGTCCACTGCAATTTTCCGCAGACTCAGACTTTCCCCATTCAAAAGTGAAGTGCATCCATTTGGGAATAAATCTCTTCAAAATGTACAGTATGGACACCAGAAAGCTGGCGATATTTGCGAGAGACAAAGAGAAAAGAAGAACGTCCATTTTGAGTGTGCGCCTTTAAATATACAGCCAGCGGTCATTCAAAATAATGTAATACGCAAGCGCAATCCACGTGTACCAAAAAATAGTGTTCAGAAAAAGTTGAAAATTAAGCGATTTTTAGTTCTTTCCACTTCATTTTGAGAACAGGAAGACAAAAATTGGTTAAAATGGTTTTGATGACAATGATAGGCCGTGTTATAGACGGCTTACCTCTCGCAGCTTCGATGCAGAGCGACCAGGATGTAAGTGTAAACGTTGATGTTTAAGTACACATTCAGCCGATTCCGGCAAATAGCATATGCCTGTGTTTAATTTTGCTGGCTAAACGGGACAAGTACGATGTCACAGATGATCAGCTGCTCAATTTATTTTAGTTTATTTAAACCTATTTCATACAGATGCGAAAGTGTCAGATTATGTGGCTAAGGGTACTTGACTTATCGTGGGTTTTTGACTTTCTGATAATTGTACTTATCACGGAAGCATAATGTACAAATGAATTTAAAGTCCCACCTAACTGGTCTCGGATGATTTGGGGTCCTTGCCTAGACCCTTGATAAATGTCTCCACTGGTGTATACCCTGAGGCTGGAATCCTCATCAAAAGCCCTGTAAACCTCCCGGGAAAAGGATTAACACCACCTTATTTTAATGCAACTGACAGAGCTGATGCTGAAATCTATGATTTTTTTATACCTACATTGCTTTGTGCTTTTGGCTGTGACTGTGACAGATCTTAAGAGGACCTGGTCACTTATTACTACAAGTGGTAAAGTGACATGTCTGTCAAACAGAGCAAGGATTATTGAAATGGCTCAGTGACTTCCCAGTTGTAACTGATAAGTTACTGTGGGCCATCCCATCTAATAAACACACCCCCCTCCATTGATGGGGTATTATTGGCCACACCCCTTCAAAACATTATTCCTGGGGTAACCAACTCCCTTGATCTAAACCACTTAGAAAATGTGGCAATGTTATTTGTCCACATTGTTATATTGAGGTTTTACAGCACTCCTCATCAGAATATTCACCATCCTTTTATGAATGACATAACACTCCCCTTATCCCTTCAGAAATTGACATATTAGATGATAATTCCCTCCTAATATTGACCCCCTCAGAAAATCTCTTGGGAAATTGACATTCCAGGGTACACATGGCGAGCCGCAAGCCTTAGCGACCGAAATATGGGGGAAAATTTGTCCCCCATCTGACCAGAAGGCCATTGTTTAAATTCAGCCAAGCATAGACCGTTGACAGCTTGAAACCATACTTGGGCAGAAATGCGAATCTCCTTTCGTGGCCTCCTGTGAAGCTTTATCCGACATATCTTTCAACCGCTCATTTTAACAGACACTACTAAAAAGCTGATGAGACGAACACAACTAAAAAAAAGAACCTGATAGAATGAAAATCGCTCCAAAACAGTTCATCAGTTGGAAAACCAGTGGCGGTGTAGAGGAGTTTTGCACAATTGTCAAACGGGGGATACCTCAGAATCAATATGCATTTATTTACCGAAGATGAACAAAGTGCAGCGATTGAAATTTAATAGAATTTACATTAACTATAAATTCAAATAGTTTTTACAGTAGCTTTCTATGGGGAGCAGAATTTAAATAGGAGACTTTACCGACCTTTTCTCAAAAAAGGCAATAGTCCCGCTTTAAATTCTGCTTCCCCGAAATTTCTGTTTCTAAATCTAAGTAGCTTTCTTTTTCTTTTGAAAAATTTTTACAGGGGAATCAAAGTGAATCTTGGTTGATTGGTTGCGTCCATTGCGGTTCCCCCAGCCTAATTGTTTCTTTAGTAAAATATCATTGCAAGAACGGTCTCTATTATTTTTCACGAGCCGTAACCAACCAAGTTCCCTTGCACTAAGCGAAGGCGACACACCCGATCGCTTGCTTTTTCAGGCGACTCACCCAGAAGAGCATGTGCAGACGGAACTTTAGTCGTTGTTTAGTTTTGTTTTGATTCAACCAAAGAATAAGTTCAATTACGAATTCTAAGCGTCTGGTTGAAATACAATCTTACCAGGTCCCAAACAAAAGAAAAATATATTTTGCAAACCGTTTTCCAAGACTATTTTACCTTATAAACTTTCCTAAGGCCTCGTTTTTTTACAGAAAGATTCATTTAATATACACGTTTTACAAAGTCTTCTTGCACTAAGCGAAAGCGACTCACCCGATCGCTCGCTTTTAATCAGGCGACACACCCAACATAAAAGCACGTACAGAATACCCTGAACCATGTTCATGAATTTGTTTTCGGTGAATTATATCAAAGCTCTCTGCTCGTGAAAAATAACAGAGACTGTTCGCGCAGTTGTATTTTATTAAAAAAACAAATAGGGGTGAACCGAGATGGACACAACCAATCAACCAAAACTCATTTCGATTCCTCCGTAAAAATTTTTAAAAGAAAAAGAAAGCTACTTAGATTTAGGGACTTACAAATAACGAGCAAACTTAACACTCAACCCCCTCTCTGTGAAGAACATTAGGTAGGTCAGTAGGGGTATGGGCACACGAGCGTCTGATATTTTTAACGCGTTTTATTTCATTTTTGATCAAAATAAAAAGGTTTTATGAGGTTTATACATGGAATAGCCCTTATTTATGGCTTTGTAGCACAATTTGCTACCAGTGGGAGTCATTTTCCCCTATTCGATACTAGGAAAACAATTATTTTCATAGGCAGAGCCCCGTCGGGCTGTGTTGAGAACGCATGCAACAACGCAATATTACGCAATAATTACTGGCTTTATTGTTGTGCAAAGAGTGTTTTAACTGTAAGATAATTTTCTCATTAATTGAAACAAAGATCTGAGCATGAAGTGACAACTATAAATCGCACTGGATCATGATGAAGCGTTTAAACATCGGCAACAAGCAAAACAGTTGAAAAAAGATCAGAGATATAGCAATTTGGCCGCTACGTGTGTATGTGTACCCTTTTAAAACACGGACGTCTATAATTTTCAACACATTCCTTTGTTTATCAAGAAAATGTCACACGAAATTAATAGAGCTTTTCGACTTCTTTATTAGGGTACTTTTTGTAACACAAAATTGCCTCCAGTGGAAGTTGTGCTGGGCCTGTTTCTTCCTAAACAAGAGCTGTACGATCGGGAGCACCACATTAAATTTGGCGGGCATTTAGGAGGTTTTGGCGCGGATATGCTCGAAGAAGAAATAAATAAATGAAAGGAAAAAAATCAAACACTGTGCTTACCTTCAAGGAGTCTTACCATTAATCAAGTCATTATACAAGCCAGAATTAATGTGTCGCAAGGTAAACCTACTGATCTAGGGCTGAATTGGCCTCCTATTTGAACCAATGTAAAGAAGGAAGGCTGGCCATCTCTGGTTTTCAGAAGAGAAGCTTGAATTCTCCTAACCTGTCCGATCTGTTTAAATGTTCTTCCAAATACCAATTGCTTCTAAGGGAAACGATTTTTACCATGAATCAACACAGAAATTCTCGACCAGGAAACGCCAAAAAGTAACTCACATATACTCCATACAATGATGGCTTGATCGGACTGATCCGATCCCGGAGAATAGTTGAAAAGACCGCGCTCGACTTTATTTACATGTTTTTACCCCGCCTAGTATTGTTTTAACCATATTAACAGACAGTTGCAAAATTTAGAATTGTTTCATCGCCTCTGTGAAGATCACTACCGATGACAGCTAATCTGACCCCTGCTAACTTGCACGAGATCGGAGGTAAAATTATAACAGGAAATTGAGCATAGCAACCGTCACTCAAGATAATTAGTAAAGGGACTTTATGCGGCTCCTCATGACTGCTGCAGGCCAAAGGATCGGGCCGTTTCACTGTTGAATGCCTTACCCAAAAGGCTCACTAAGTTAACAAACATTGTGACATTCAAGAAGGGACTTATGCATTATTTAAAATTGTCTTAATAAGCAGTTTATTTTTAAGACAGGGTTGCTTATATTACTTTTTTCTTTGTAGTGGAGAGAATAAGAGGCTATGTTACTGATATCTTGTTAAAATTGCGTGAATTCGTATATTATAGTTTTATATTTATTTTTTACCTATGATATTGATCTAATAATTACTTTGAAAAGCCATACATGGCTATTATTATTATTATCATCATTATTATTGGCAACCCCTTCAGAAAATCTCACCTTTAAAGGGCGTGCGGATATATAGAAATATTAGAGGAATGGCCCTGTGCTGCCAAACCACTTAAATATATACATATTTACCATACTGCCTTGTTCTATCAACGCTTTAAGAAAATTTATCTAACCTTCAATCATGCAGGTCTTTTTTCCCTTACTCTTTGAATGGTGAGGGTTCGATTTTTTCCTCTGCAGTTTCCTGACTTTTTTGCTCGCCTGATAAAAAAGAAACCCTGACTGCATGTCAATTTTTTCATAATAAAAACAGCAAGGCAAGGAAAAAGGTCTTTTGAACAGAGTTTACTTCTTTTTAAATCACGATCTCATTCTGTGTTTCTCTAGACTAGTCGCAGCTTGCAAGACTATCAGGCCCAAGCCAAGCTATTGTTCAGAAAACTCTCAGACAATTCACCAGCAAGAAGCAGCATTGAGACAGGACCAATGATGTTTCAGTGAGTAGTTAATGCATGGGCTACAGGTTAAATTTTTATTTAATTAACTTCAATTACTTACATTGAAGTAATCTTTTGTCGTTTCTGGTCAATCCTCCCCATACATTTCTTGAAGAAAGCCTGGAGACATGCTTTGTTGTGATTCAGAAGTCTCTCTGCATTCATTAAAACTTGGTAAATGGGCACTCTCTTCAAATCCTGGGGCATCAAGCGGAAGTGAGTTTTTTCCTCTTTTAATATGCCTTGATGCTATCAAATTTGTAAAAAATTTGCCAAGTGCCTTTACTTTCATAGAGTACTGGACGAAAGGTGCAAAAGGTTCACTTCCAGTTGACGTGTGTCGCTCAAAAAGGTTGTTGCTTAAACTCCCTAACGTCTGACAAGCAACATGGCCTTGAAACAGTGATTAGACAGAGAAAACAGTAAAACATCATCTGCAGATAGGGACATGGTTTCTTCCTTAATGCCTTTAACAAAGAATTTTTGAAATTCACACTAGGGACATAATGTACCCTCTCCCTCTTAAAAGGGCCTCATGAAAGAAAGACTAAATAGGCTAATTTAATGGAAATATTCCTAAAAAATACCATAACACTAGCTGCTGTCACTTACATGTGGTGTGGGGGGCATAATAATTTTTTTAAACCATAATTACTGTTCATTTCATATGGCTGAATATTCATCACTACCATTCAATACACTGCTGTAGTTTTGATTCTCTGTGATGTCGGACTGGTGCGATGGAAGTTGTCTGCCCAGCTAATCACAGAACACTGTATCCCTCTACCCTGATGGTACATTATATCTCATGGTTATGCTTTTATTGATTCAACTCTTTCATTCATTAGTGAATGACAGAGTCATCTATCTTCTGAGTCTGTTGACAAAATCCTATTGTATATGGCCACTGAAATGAAAACTCTTTGACATTGGGCTTGATTTTAAATTTTCCTCTTATCAACAGTTACATTATTGAAAATGGAGTATGCTACTTGACTTTAACAGAAAAGACATTCTCCAAGAGAGCAGCATTTAGTTTCTTAGAAGAATTATCCTCAGAGTTTCAAAGAGAGTTTGGTTCAAGAGTTCCCACGGCAACTAGACCATATTCATTTATTGAGTTTGGTGAGTGACTTAACAGGGTAATGTGGTTCTTTTGAAACTTAAAGCTAAGCCCCCTAAGAAAAAAGAACAAATGTTTTTAGTACAGAATTTGGTAAAAAAGAAGAATGTGGGTTGTTTTTTTTATTTTTATCATTTCCAACTTTTTCTTATTATTGCCATTTGAATGCTATGTTTTTGTGTAAAAACTTGCAAGAGGTGACAGGCCGCACATCTTCACCGGCGTGAAACCTTTGAAAACCTTTTTCATATTGCTCCATTGAGGACAACTCATTCAGGGATCTTGCAGTTTAAAATTTGAACCATGATATAGCTTATATATAGTGGACCAAGATACAACTCGGTACTGCAGTTTATGTTCGGCAAGGGAAAATTGTGTAAGCTGAGCAGAACCTTTAAAATGTACAACAGACAATTTATTCAGTACGCGTGTATTCCTGTTGAATTTGTGGCCCGTTTACGAGGTTTGTCTACTCAAAAATATAATAATTTTTCCATAGTTGCTGTTATCTTAGGGTATCTGCTTTTAATATCTCCGTAGAGTTTAGGTTTACGCGATCTCAGAGAACAATGTTCTGCTGTACATAGCACGTAGCCTGGTTTTGTGTATTTATCACGTCTTTAGTAGAAGCATGATTTAAATACATTATGATGCTGTGTCCTTTGAATGTCATTTTAAAACTCAATTGCTTTGTAAATGTGACTTGTAGTTTTAATATCAGAGGAGGGTATTTTAAAGCTCGATATTTTTCAACCATTAGCATGTTGTTTTTTTACCAATCAATTGACTGGCTTCTTTGTGCCACTGCATAATGTGACGTTATGTGAAAACCAACAATACAGGCCAGATTTCGTGTTTCGTATTTTGCGCAGACTATCAATTCATCCGAGAACCTCCGAATACATGACGAAAACACATAGGCTGTAACGCAACAGTAACGTGACATCCCCCCCCCCGCCTCTCTGAAAAGTAAAATGAAACGAGATACGAGGCACTGTCTCGTCTCTGAGTACCCTGTGAGCAGAGGCCCTTCAATCTTCCTAGATAAGTAAGATCCCTGAAAGAGTTGTCCTCAATGGAGCAATATGAAATTTAAGGTTTTCAAAGGTTTCACGCCGGTGAAGATGTGCAGCCTGTCACAAAAGGGAGGAAAAGAGTTACAATTTAAGATTGTGTGCAATGGGAATCATGCTTCAAACCCCAAGAACTTTAACTAAAAAGACATTGGGTGACCGTGCTTTTTTAGCTGCGGCACCTAAACTGTGGAATGGGTAACCATCACAAATACGAAATGAGCGCAATTTTCATAGGTTTAAAGGTTAACTTAAGACCCATTTTTTTAGATTAGCTTTTTATTAGGATTTTTTAGGATTATGTATATATTATATTTTTATAGATCCATTGTTTTTTTATATAATTTTTTTAGTTATTTTGGATAACTTATTAATGTCGATAATTTACTTTCATGTAATGCACATTTGATCATATTTACATGTATTTTGCGCAATATAAATATTAAATTATTATTATTATTTATTATTATTCTTATCACTGTCACCTCTTGCAAGTTTTTACTTTGGTGCCTTAAAGGTTGGACGGGAGCCTGAGCAGCTCAGGCATTACCTCATACTTACCAATGCACAGAGGGGGGAGGGAAGGGCTGGGCTCCAGAATCTGGAAAGATTTGCTTAAACAACATATCTGCAAAGATCAGCTCAAAAATGCCAGCATGAGATGCAACTTAAGTCACAAGATAAGCAAAAGGTCCCTGCTATCACCCCACAGATCACTTACGCTTGAGGAGGAGACCACTGACCACATTGACTCGCAATTTAACTTTGCCTAAATTACGTTTAGCCACATTTCCTTTGGATGAAAATAACTGGTTTTTAGGAGTGTTTTTTTTCCAGTTAATGCTGACCTTTAATTAAACCCTCAGTAATTAATGGTACACATACTGTATTGGTTACTTTATGTGATGCAACTGTTCCAAGTTATTGTCACCAAAAACACACAGAAGACTGGGTTCTAAACTATGAGCAATTTTATCAGTAAGATAAACAACCATGTTCTGCTTGATTCACCCATCACCATCTTTTTAGATATCGCTATTGTCCGATTATTTCTACTTTCTAAGGCTCGGTTCAGATGCCCTACCTTTTCATGAGCTGAACCTAATACATTGAATTAAGTACATGAAAAGTTCGGCATCTGAATCAATTGGGAACGCCTGTTTCAATTTGGAATGGCTCAGCCATTCTTTTCACCTGGCCCGGCCAGGATTTCACCTTTGGAGCGACTTTGGAATGGCTTTGATTCAGACGCCGAACTTTTCATGTACCGAACCTAATGCATAAATTATTATAACATCTTTTGTACGTAGTTTGACCGAAATGAGCATTTTTCTTCTTTTGAATTTATTTCGGCTCGAATTAAGATTGCCGTCTGAATCAATTCAGCCGGTAATCTGGATTGGCCTTAATTTGAATTAGGTTCGGCTCATGAAAAGTTTGGTGTCTAAACCGGGCCTAACAATATGTCCTGGAAAAGTAGACTCTATTAGCCAAAGATGGTTTAGTAAGGAACATTTTGTGAAAGAACAAAGAAATTTAGAGTCAATCTTTGTCGTTTTTCAGTGTAATTTTTGTTGTCAAAAAATTTTTCAATGTTTTGAGGTGGTAGTAACAGATCAGAGACAAAGAAAAAATTTAATTAGTATAGGTAATAGCATGATTTTTAGTCATATTTGGCATAAATACCACGAGTGATATTTCAAAATTGTTGTACGAAATTTCACGAGCCGTTAGGCGAGTGAAATTTGAGACAATTTTGAAATATCACTAAAAACATCATCTGCAGATAGGGACATGGTTTCTTCCTTAATGCCTTTAACAAAGAATTTTTGAAATTCACACTAGGGACATAATGTACCCTCTCCCTCTTAAAAGGGCCTCATGAAAGAAAGACTAAATAGGCTAATTTAATGGAAATATTCCTAAAAAATACCATAACACTAGCTGCTATCACTTACATGTGGTGTGGGGGGCATAATAATTTTTTTAAACCATAATTACTGTTCATTTCATATGGCTGAATATTCATCACTACCATTCAATACACTGCTGTAGTTTTGATTCTCTGTGATGTCGGACTGGTGCGATGGAAGTTGTCTGCCCAGCTAATCACAGAACACTGTATCCCTCTACCCTGATGGTACATTATATCTCATGGTTATGCTTTTATTGATTCAACTCTTTCATTCATTAGTGAATGACAGAGTCATCTATCTTCTGAGTCTGTTGACAAAATCCTATTGTATATGGCCACTGAAATGAAAACTCTTTGACATTGGGCTTGATTTTAAATTTTCCTCTTATCAACAGTTACATTATTGAAAATGGAGTATGCTACTTGACTTTAACAGAAAAGACATTCTCCAAGAGAGCAGCATTTAGTTTCTTAGAAGAATTATCCTCAGAGTTTCAAAGAGAGTTTGGTTCAAGAGTTCCCACGGCAACTAGACCATATTCATTTATTGAGTTTGGTGAGTGACTTAACAGGGTAATGTGGTTCTTTTGAAACTTAAAGCTAAGCCCCCTAAGAAAAAAGAACAAATGTTTTTAGTACAGAATTTGGTTAAAAAGAAGAATGTGGGTTGTTTTTTTTTTATTTTTATTATTTCCAACTTTTTCTTATTATTGCCATTTGAATGCTATGTTTTTGTGTAAAAACTTGCAAGAGGTGACAGGCCGCACATCTTCACCGGCGTGAAACCTTTGAAAACCTTTTTCATATTGCTCCATTGAGGACAACTCATTCAGGGATCTTGCAGTTTAAAATTTGAACCATGATATAGCTTATATATAGTGGACCAAGATACAACTCGGTACTGCAGTTTATGTTCGGCAAGGGAAAATTGTGTAAGCTGAGCAGAACCTTTAAAATGTACAACAGACAATTTATTCAGTACGCGTGTATTCCTGTTGAATTTGTGGCCCGTTTATGAGGTTTGTCTACTCAAAAATATAATAATTTTTCCATAGTTGCTGTTATCTTAGGGTATCTGCTTTTAATATCTCCGTAGAGTTTAGGTTTACGCGATCTCAGAGAACAATGTTCTGCTGTACATAGCACGTAGCCTGGTTTTGTGTATTTATCACGTCTTTAGTAGAAGCATGATTTAAATACATTATGATGCTGTGTCCTTTGAATGTCATTTTAAAACTCAATTGCTTTGTAAATGTGACTTGTAGTTTTAATATCAGAGGAGGGTATTTTAAAGCTCGATATTTTTCAACCATTAGCATGTTGTTTTTTTACCAATCAATTGACTGGCTTCTTTGTGCCACTGCATAATGTGACGTTATGTGAAAACCAACAATACAGGCCAGATTTCGTGTTTCGTATTTTGCGCAGACTATCAATTCATCCGAGAACCTCCGAATACATGACGAAAACACATAGGCTGTAACGCAACAGTAACGTGACATCCCCCCCCCCGCCTCTCTGAAAAGTAAAATGAAACGAGATACGAGGCACTGTCTCGTCTCTGAGTACCCTGTGAGCAGAGGCCCTTCAATCTTCCTAGATAAGTAAGATCCCTGAAAGAGTTGTCCTCAATGGAGCAATATGAAATTTAAGGTTTTCAAAGGTTTCACGCCGGTGAAGATGTGCAGCCTGTCACAAAAGGGAGGAAAAGAGTTACAATTTAAGATTGTGTGCAATGGGAATCATGCTTCAAACCCCAAGAACTTTAACTAAAAAGACATTGGGTGACCGTGCTTTTTTAGCTGCGGCACCTAAACTGTGGAATGGGTAACCATCACAAATACGAAATGAGCGCAATTTTCATAGGTTTAAAGGTTAACTTAAGACCCATTTTTTTAGATTAGCTTTTTATTAGGATTTTTTAGGATTATGTATATATTATATTTTTATAGATCCATTGTTTTTTTATATAATTTTTTTAGTTATTTTGGATAACTTATTAATGTCGATAATTTACTTTCATGTAATGCACATTTGATCATATTTACATGTATTTTGCGCAATATAAATATTAAATTATTATTATTATTTATTATTATTCTTATCACTGTCACCTCTTGCAAGTTTTTACTTTGGTGCCTTAAAGGTTGGACGGGAGCCTGAGCAGCTCAGGCATTACCTCATACTTACCAATGCACAGAGGGGGGAGGGAAGGGCTGGGCTCCAGAATCTGGAAAGATTTGCTTAAACAACATATCTGCAAAGATCAGCTCAAAAATGCCAGCATGAGATGCAACTTAAGTCACAAGATAAGCAAAAGGTCCCTGCTATCACCCCACAGATCACTTACGCTTGAGGAGGAGACCACTGACCACATTGACTCGCAATTTAACTTTGCCTAAATTACATTTAGCCACATTTCCTTTGGATGAAAATAACTGGTTTTTAGGAGTGTTTTTTTTTCCAATTAATGCTGACCTTTAATTAAACCCTCAGTAATTAACGGTACACATACTGTATTGGTTACTTTATGTGATGCAACTGTTCCAGGTTATTGTCACCAAAAACACACAGAAGACTGGGTTCTAAACTATGAGCAATTTTATCAGTAAGATAAACAACCATGTTCTGCTTGATTCACCCATCACCATCTTTTTAGATATCGCTATTGTCCGATTATTTCTACTTTCTAAGGCTCGGTTCAGATGCCCTACCTTTTCATGAGCTGAACCTAATACATTGAATTAAGTACATGAAAAGTTCGGCATCTGAATCAATTGGGAACGCCTGTTTCAATTTGGAATGGCTCAGCCATTCTTTTCACCTGGCCCGGCCAGGATTTCACCTTTGGAGCGACTTTGGAATGGCTTTGATTCAGACGCCGAACTTTTCATGTACCGAACCTAATGCATAAATTATTATAACATCTTTTGTAAGTAGTTTGACCGAAATGAGCATTTTTCTTCTTTTGAATTTATTTCGGCTCGAATTAAGATCGCCGTCTGAATCAATTCAGCCGGTAATCTGGATTGGCCTTAATTTGAATTAGGTTCGGCTCATGAAAAGTTTGGTGTCTAAACCGGGCCTAACAATATGTCCTGGAAAAGTAGACTCTATTAGCCAAAGATGGTTTAGTAAGGAACATTTTGTGAAAGATCAAAGAAATTTAGAGTCAATCTTTGTCGTTTTTCAGTGTAATTTTTGTTGTCAAAAAATTTTTCAATGTTTTGAGGTGGTAGTAACAGATCAGAGACAAAGAAAAAATTTAATTAGTATAGGTAATAGCATGATTTGTAGTGATATTTGGCATAAATACCACGAGTGATATTTCAAAATTGTTGTACGAAATTTCACGAGCCGTTAGGCGAGTGAAATTTGAGACAATTTTGAAATATCACTAGTGGTATTTATGCCAAATATCACGTACAAATCATGCTATTATTTGTTTATACTACTACCCACAAAAGGTTTGTAATTTTCACATGTAGGTATTTCAAATTAAGCTGAAATACCACTGCTCTAAGCCAATCAGATTGCAGAAATTTCTCATGTAGTAGTATAAACTGGTTTATATAATCTTCAAACCAATGAAAAATTTGACCTACAACGGTCATGCTACCATAACATTTCACTCCCTTTTTAGATACATACATTCAAAAGGCAAGAAAAAACTATCAAGATTCTAGAACAAGAAGGAACTTAAACAGATTGAATGATGAACTCCACGATGTACAGCGGATCATGGTTCAAAACATTGACGATGTTCTTCAGAGAGGCGAACAAATTTCAGGTAACTTTAGGTTTTAAAATTCATTGGCTGAGCCTATTGTTGGAGAAAGTGACAACAATATTTGATGCACAAAAAATGTCAGTATTGGTTTATTAACCAGAAATATGTATAATTTATTGTTTTGTTTTGTTGTTGTTTCGTAGTGTTGGATGATAAGGCAGGAAATCTAAGGTTTCAGTCAGAAAAATACAAGAAAGATGCAACCTACTTAAATTTGCGTTCTGCATATGCCAAGTATGCTGCTGTAGGAACAATTTTTGTAGTATTAATGATCTATATTCGATTCTGGTGGTTTTGAAAAGTGAAGAGAAATTTTGAATAGAGTCATATATAGAAAACAGTCATTAATATTATTATTAAGCCCTACTGGTTAACAGTTTCCAAGTAAGTTACCCTGGTAAATATGTTGATAATCTTAAGTACAATTTGTTTTAGTTGTCTTATCAATAACCAGCATTCTTGCCAATAGTGACAAGCAGGAAGATGTGAGCAAATGAGACAACTACTGTACTGGTTAATTGTTCCTTCTCACGGGCAAAGAACTTGTCACAATATGCCCACAGCATATTGTATATGCATATATGCAATTAAACAAACACATTATTGCAGAATAGATTTCAGAACACAAAATGAAACCTACTCAACTTGAAACTTCATTTCTTCCCTGCGGCAGAGATCTCTCATGACAAGAGAAAAAGGAGAGGAAAGAAAGAGACCTCTGCCGGCCTCTGATGCAATTGTAATAATTGTAATTTGTTTACCCACGAAGTAATTAGGAGTTCTTATGAACTCATTTAAACGTGTCCATGGATTCCAGATTGAATTGGAAAGTGGAGATGTTGTTGGTTTTTGATGAGAGGGCAAAACCAGAGTACCCGGAGGAAAACCTCACAGGGCAAGGGAGAGAACCAATAACAAACTCAACCCACATGTGGCTTCAACGCCGGGATTTGAACCCGGGTCACATTGGTGGGAGGCGAGTACTCTCACCACTGCACCACCCTTGCTTTCCCTGAAGCAAGTTTTTAATCATTCATACATGCACTGGCATTTCCTTAATGACCAATAACATTTAGTCATGTGTGAAACAACTTACAGAACCAGTTTGCACAATAGCAATTGTGGGCTCAGAAAATAAATTTCCAGCGTGCAGTCTCAAAAAAAGAAACCAATTTTGAAAACCATTAAGTTTCAGCCACAAATGTGGTCGGCAGCTAGGTGAAAGAATGTGTCGGAGGTTGGCAGGTCTCTCTCTTTCCTATAATTCTTCTCTTGCCGTGAGAGACCTCTGCTACCAAGGAACTTGATTTCATAACTTGCTCCCGCAATCTCACTCTTTGAGGTTATTTAATCACTGAAGTTTGTTTTACACTAACTTAAAAAGTGAAGTGAAATTTAAAATACCAATGCTTACATGTATTAATGAACTATAGCTGTTCCTTGTAGTTGACTATAACTACATGTAGGACTAATCATATTTTTTACAATAAAAAAAATTGAAATTTTTGTTTAACATCTAACAACGTTTTCGTCTAGTTATGATCTAGGTTCTTTATATACTGCTGTTACTGCTTAGAGTCATGTTTCCAGTTCATATAGTCATAATCAAGACCTATAGAGAAACCCAAGGACAGTAGGCTGCCAGAATACCTCTTGGATAGTAGATCAGTTGTTTGTCATCTTCTTTCCACTTAATAGTGAAGATGACAAAAAAAGGTTTCAGTGTGCAAGACAAGTTTGAATTTAGTTTATTGACACATCACATTGTTACAACCTTCAACACAATGTACACACCCATGTCATGTTTTTTTTTGTCAGGTTACAAGGCAAATGTGTTATCTTAAACACCTTTTCTGTGCCATGTGACACACTTTTTTACATCACATTATCTTATAAGCTCTACTTTGCTTCATTTCCTTCATATATCATGTTGTTTTTATTTAAGTACCCCAAAATAGTATTACTTGGTAACTTACAAATACCTTTTTGTTAAAGAAATCACTTAATTTTGAATGATTGTAATGTAAATAAGATAATATTGAGTACTGATTCACAGTCAAAAAATAAACAATACGACTATTTTTTTGCAAAATGTTTTTATTAGAAACCAGAATCATATCAGTTGGTACCCTGTTATGGCAGAGTTTCCCTTCAGCATGGTTTGTTGCATTTACAAAGTTGTTTGTGTCATAGACATCCATGCAGTTGGCTTGTTTACTAATACCTGCAATAAACCTCTCAGGGAAAACCATGTAGGAAAGAAACCTCTGCTAGCAGGATAACTGGTTGTAGAATATACAAAATTAGTTTTTACAGCTGGTGCAAAAGTGGATCATGCCATTATTTAAATATCGCACATCAAAATNTTAAACACCTTTTCTGTGCCATGTGACACACTTTTTTACATCACATTATCTTATAAGCTCTACTTTGCTTCATTTCCTTCATATATCATGTTGTTTTTATTTAAGTACCCCAAAATAGTATTACTTGGTAACTTACAAATACCTTTTTGTTAAAGAAATCACTTAATTTTGAATGATTGTAATGTAAATAAGATAATATTGAGTACTGATTCACAGTCAAAAAATAAACAATACGACTATTTTTTTGCAAAATGTTTTTATTAGAAACCAGAATCATATCAGTTGGTACCCTGTTATGGCAGAGTTTCCCTTCAGCATGGTTTGTTGCATTTACAAAGTTGTTTGTGTCATAGACATCCATGCAGTTGGCTTGTTTACTAATACCTGCAATAAACCTCTCAGGGAAAACCATGTAGGAAAGAAACCTCTGCTAGCAGGATAACTGGTTGTAGAATATACAAAATTAGTTTTTACAGCTGGTGCAAAAGTGGATCATGCCATTATTTAAATATCGCACATCAAAATTCTTGCAAAATATTACTTTTTACCATAAATCTTCTATTAAGCCCTCCCTTTTAAATAAGCCCCCGTATCTTATAAGCCCTCCCTTTTCCGGGCAAGAAAGTTAATGAGCCCCCCTGCCCTCCCCTTGTTATTATTTACTGATAAATGATAGACTGTATTAATCAATCATCATGTCAGGAGTCTATTGCGACTCCAAAACTTCATGTGGATGGTTTATTCACAAGCTGGAACTTCAGATTGGTTTTTGATCCTCGGCTTCATGACCTCGAATGTCTTATACTAGAGCTTTTCCACACTGCACTCTAGTTCTTTATGGAGAACTGATACCTTCTTCTTTGCTAAATTGAGTAAGCCCCCTCTCTCAAATAAGCCCCCATCTCTATTAAGCTACCCCCCTTTCCCCTCAAATGTGTTTCTAATGAATAAGCCCCACCCTTCCGGGGTGGGCTTAATAGAAGATTTACGGTAAGTCAATCAAGTTCTACTAAAAATAAGTGTTTCGAAAAGTGGAGCTATTTACACCATGGAAAAAATTATCTTTATTCAATATACAATAAAAGTTATTTATTCTTAGATATTTCAAGTTGAGTAATTTTACTTAACCCGAGAAACAGTAATACTTAAGTGCCAAATAATTACTACTAGAAAAGAAAAGAGAACGATGAGATTTTAATGTAATACTGCATACAGTCAACTCTCTCTGAATGGACACCTCTATAAGATGTACACCTCATAAAACCGGACAACTAGAGTTGGTCCCTGCCTTTCTTTACTCCTTTTAGTTGACTCTATAAAGTGGACATCTTCCAAAAACGGACGTGTACTACTGGTCCCAAAGGCGTCCTTCTTAGAAAAAGTTGATTGTATTAGTCAACTTATCTATCCCACGGGTTAAGTAAAATCACTCTTAAAACATAAGTAAAATAGTTCACACTAATTTAACAGCTAGTGCATCATTCTAAAATACCACTTCAAATAAACTTAACCTAAAATTACTGTTTTAAAGGTGTAAGAATCAAATAGCTGTTTTCAAATTGTCTTGAGAATCAGGATGCTAAACTCTCTAGATGTCTCAAATTTGTTGACTGGTGTGGTGATTGGCAGCAGTGTAAAATTAAAGTTTCATAACACATTTAAAATTATTATTTACAGCAGGGCCATTTGAAAAGGACAAGCAACTGGAAAAAAAGTTGACAAAACTTCACTTAATAGATTTCAGCCATGCCCTCCAATGGTGTTGTTAATGTTGTAACAATAATAGACTACACACCAAGGTCTCTGACTTGATAAGCTACACACCTTTTTAACATCTTCAAAACTGTGTTGGCTTTTAATCAAAGAATTCATTGATAACACTACGGTAAAAGTTCAAAGTACTTAGAAAACTTATGTGAAGCTCATTTTGATCTTTCCCTATGACCACTACTTTATTTTAAGCTGATATTACAAATTTTATCAAACTGGATTAATGCGTGGGCAAGTAAAGACTAGATAATAGCCAGCAGTTAAATGCACCAGACAATCCTCTAACTTTACCTTATATAATTTAGCCCAGCTGCTTAACTGTGATATTACATTCTGAGTTATAGACAATATCAAGTGACTTTGTTTCATAACTAAAACAAACAACTAGTAATATTACCATCAATTACTAGTTTCTGTTTCAATTAAAATGAACTCTTAAAATATAAACTTCAAAAAATGAATTAAAACTCCAGATGACTTGTGCATTCTTCCAAATTGTCTCATGATTTTTTCAATTTTTTCCCCTTGCCCAACTTTAATCGTGCTTGTCTCTGCTTCTTCTGGTTCTCCAGATCTTTCCAGGCCCCCATTATAAACTTGCTGAAATGATATAAAGGTTTTATTTCATTTTTTATTTGAGTGAGACAACTTACTGGTCTTCTTATCCTACTTATAGGAAAGCAAAAATATAACTTCAAGTTAAATTTCACAGAGATTTTAATACTTTATACATGGCTCCATCTAGCCTGCAAAGCAGGCGTATTTTTCCATGCAAGTGATGATATTTATGTTCCCCTGCCATCTTGGATATTAAAACTGAGAGAGATGGGGAGAGTCAAAAAATGATATCCTTTGACTTGCAGGAATAGGCATTCACTGATCAAGTCCACTGACTCCCAGGAATAAGTGCATGTCCACAGGTTGTGGGACTTAAAGCATCGGTTGTCTGAGCTTGTTGTGTTAGCATCTCTCTGAAAACTGGAGAGTCCATTCCAGGGCTTGTAGGAGTAAAATTAATGAAACTGTCCAAGTTTAGAAGTAAACCCACTGTACAGTCTATTAAGGAGTGTAACTGGGATATACTAATGCTGTTTTTTTTTAACAGTTGGCATGATGGATACAAATACTAATAGCACAATAACGTACATCATTACATCTTACTTTAATGCTGACAGCTCACTGATTAGTCCCTTTATCATTCCATTGTCAGTTGGCACATTCTTACTAAACACATTTCCTGTAACGTCACTGTGACTTGACATTTCGCTAGGATTAGCTTGCCTGTAAGATCAATACTGCTAGTAGTTGTAAAAGGTCATCACCTTTTTCAAAAGCAAAAGGTCTCTCACAACTCAGCAAAAGACTGAGTGATTTGTCATAATACACCTTTTTGAAAAATACTGTCAATGTTGAATCATAATTGTGCATGTTCAGCCTTGAATTCAAGAGGATCTTGCTAGGAGCTACATGTGCTAAGTATCAACTTTTCCATGTTTTTCATTAAGTGTTAAAATGTGGCACAGTTTCAGTCTTTGTAACTTCAGAAACCATCAAACCACAATTAATGATTGAATTCATGGTTCCTTTGATCACTAAGCAATAAGTTGTCTCCAAGTGAAAACTTTCTGCATGAATTGTGAAATCCATCATGCTGTTGTTCCACTAAAAATAATCCAGTAATTGCACCATGGTGAGGCAATGACTAGAGTATTTTTTGAAGAGGCCAGGGGAGTACATTTTGGATTAATTTATGGTGTCAATGAGGTGTATATAGCATTTTCTTGATTTTTATTCTAAAAAATGGGTTTTATTTAATTTATGATTTCAGTCCCACCACTGTCCCCATCACCACAAATAGGGATTACCCTAGTTTACTTGGATATCTAAGTACCTCGACTGTTGGAAGATATAGAACTCAACCAGGAGGACCACTAACATGTTGAAAGTCAAAATAACATTTTTGTTTTTACTTTGCTAAAAAATCAGCAGATTTCTTTATTCCTTTTCTGGTTAACTTGACTTTTGACCAGGCCAAATAACCCTTTAAGCCCCAAGATCCACCCACAAATTCTCCAGAATTTCTTTTAAGAATATTGAGAGAAATTGCTATAAGATCAAAGCGTCCTCCCTTTGATAATCAATTTAGTAATTCTCACAAACTTTTCTCATGATGATCTGCTGCTGTTGTTTGGAGAAAATCGATGTTGGTCACTCTTGGGACCTTAAGGGTTAACAATGTGTAGCCCCGGTTGAATTTTTGCTGTAATATTCTTTTTAAACTCATGACTCACTACCCTATTAATGTTCATAAAAAAATACTTGGCCACCCCTGGTGTTTGATATGTGATGGAGCAGTAGCACTGGCACTCTATCTCATGTTTGATGTATTATTTCCCTTTATTTCTTTTACCTGGCATCCAGTTTATGACATGATGGTTGGTCAGGGGAAGACTCAAGGCCCACCAACTGAGAATCTGTACAGTCCATGGCCATTAAACAGTCAAATTCTGAGATTTCCCCCTCAGAGCCAAATGAAGAGCAAACTGGTGGCTGGTCACATGATGGCAAAGCTGATCTGCATTGTTCTGAGTAAGTGAATCTACCTTCTGTCTCCCTGCAAGGGGAACTGCATTGTAAAGATGATTCAGAACCTGTTGGCACTGTGTGTCCCTCCCTTATGCTTGAAGTGTTAGTTTCTTGGTATGCAAAAATTTCCAGTGCTGTCTGTGAATTAGAGGGCTGAGATTCTTCTATTTCCCTTCCAAGTCCTGTTTTGGGATCTGTGCCATCTTCAGTTTCATCTGCGTGATGCTTATTTTTGTCTCCTTCATTGTCTGGAGTTTCCAAACATTCACTGCTTGTATGACACATGTCTCTTCCATTCTCATGACACTTCATTGTCAGTTCATTGCAATCTGGGATTCTTTGCTGAGAATCAGATAATATTTTATTGAAAAATTTTCAATCATAATCCCAGTGAATTACATGTAGTGAATTTATTTTTACCTTTGACTGTATTAGTTCTAATCATGGTATCTAATATATCATGGCTCATGATGTATCATGTCATGGTATTAATTCATTTCATTAATACCATACCATGTTCACACTAAGGCAAAACATGTTGTTTTGTTACGAATAAATAAAACTTAGCAAATATGGAGATTTAACGGGTAAACACAGACTAATGGAAATATATCTTTTGTGACCAGAGTTTTTCTTGAATTGTAGTTTTTCCTAATAAGGACGAGGCTCACTCTCAAATTTGCTCTTAGCTGGGCTAGTTGGCATGATCTTAGTTTATGTATTGCCTGTGATGAGTATGAAAAGTTACTTGCCCATGCAATAGGAAAATTTTCTGGTTCCAGACAACTAGACTGAGAGCTATACAGTACAAGCAATTATCATGAAACAAGATTTGTATATAGTTCCTGTTGGTTGTTAAAGGTTTGACACCGAAAAGGAATGAAAAGAAACGGTGTTACTTACTGGAACAGTGACAGGCTTACATTGAGCAGGAACCATCTGGTCAGGACTTTGCTGTTTTTCTAGGTTGTCTAGCTCATTTGCAGGATATCCAAGGCAGATGGTAGAACCAAGCACATCTTCTGACATCAGTACATGTACAACCATATTGCTTTTCATTTCTGTATCTTCTGCTGGCAATGTCTGTGATAAGAGGTCATTTTCTGACTTGCTGTCAGAGAAATTTGTCTTTGTATGGGTGAGATCGGTGTCTATGTTTGAGGTTGGGCAGTGGTCTTTCTTCGACATTCTATCACTAAGCAAATCTACACAATTCATACTAGTTGTGAGATTAACCTCTGAGTGGCCCATTTCAGGGTTGTGGGTTAATGTACCTTTTCTTTCTGAGCCACTAATATCTCTCTGATTGCACTGATCATCTATGTTTCTCCTTGGCCACCCATAATCACCTTTAACATCATTTAACCTATGATCAGGAACTTCAACCTTTGCAATTTCTGGTGCTGGTTCAAACAAACTGACATGGCTGTTATCTGCAGGTATCTGAATTTTGAGGGCACTACCACAGCTTTCAATACCCTTTCCAGAAGTAGTTTCATCCAGGGCTGTTATATGAAAAAGAGAGTCAGAACCACAAAAATTATATGTCTCTTGTGATTTGTCAGTTACTATCACCAAGGTATAGATAAAGCTATCAAAGAATTTTGATAGAGATCTGCTTTAAATTCAACTTAAAAATGAGAGGTCCTACTGAAATTATATTCAAACAGTAACTCACCATGAGTGGCTGTTAATAAATTTTCTCTTCTTTGCATTAAAGGGCTAAATTTTTAATGGTCGAATATTTCATTTAGTTTAAATCAGAATTAGCAACTTATTGATGGAAGTTCACTTTCTGTGCTACCTTACGCTGCAAATGTCACACTAATGTAATCTGTAAGTTGACTATTTCAGGATCTTACCTGCTTCACTCTTGTAGCTGTTAGAGTGATCGATCTTGCATACAGCTTCAATAACATTTTGTAATACATCTTTAACTTCAGATTGTACCTCTGCCCTTGTTGATGACAAAAGAAATTCTTCTTTTCCAGTTGTTTGATTTTGGCAGAGAACAAAGTTTTTACCTTCTTGGCTGCAAGAACTCTGTGGTTTTATTCCCACAACATCAATTTCTTCTTCCTGTTTATCCTCTTTCATCTTATTTTCCTGCTCTTCTACCTGTATCAAGACAGAATGCAGAAAATAAGTAGAGTTTAACATGGTGGTTTTAGTCCTAATATTTATTACTCAAGTGTGATAGGATTTGTCGTCTACAATTTCATCACAAAACGACTAGCTGACCTGGAAGCTACTAAAAACTTAGAATATAAAAAGTTCAACTTTGCAGTGATGATTAATCTATATAGACTACCCAACCTTGTGAATGTTTTCTCCTTCGTTACAAATGTTAGTTTTCGAATTCAATTTGTAATAATGAACTACTTTACGGTGTATGAGAAGGTCTGATTATTCCTTGGAACTGTTGGAAATACAAATAAATTGATAAAGAAGGGCACACTGTAATATTTTTCAAATACTCAACGGGTTTGTGGCTTTTACAAATCTCCCTTGAGAAAACAAGGAAACATTATGGACTTCTTCAACCCTCAAAGTTAAAGTTTTTGCTTGGTCGCCATTTGGCGACCAATTCTTTTGGTTTAGGGAAACTTTTTTACAAATCAAGTCGCCAGCTTTAAAATCTTAGGCGCCATGGCGGCTAAAATGGTCGCAACTTGGAGGGTTGTTCTTTGTAACTAATGGTAAGTTTTTACTCGAACGCACAAACGAGCAAAGAGAAAGTCGGGCTGTTTATACGCTCCCCCCGTTTTATATGTCACTGTGGGTGGTACGTTTCAACGCCATTTAATAAAGCGGTCTCATTAACAAAACGTAAGTCTTAGTTAGGTTCTACAAGTAACAACCTTTTGTGAGTTTTTATACCCGTTGCCTTGTTCATCGTCTTTAACAGGCGGTGACCTCTCCGCAAGCGGATCGTCCTTGGAAAATTGTTTTGCACCTCTCCAGGGACGTTTTAAAGGCTTTGTAACTGGAGAAACAGGGACTCCTGTTCTATTTATAGTCCTTTTTGCTTTTCGAGTAAACGGTGGAACATACTTCAACTTGCTCTCTTCTTCCTTTAAAAAGTCGACGGCGTTTGTTTTGCACTCGGCAACTGTTTCCAGACATGACTCCAGTTTGTCTGAAGACAGTTCTTCGTCGGGCTTTTTCTGCTCATCGATTAATTTGGCTTTCTTCTCTTCAATGAAAGCGCTTCTTTCATTTTTATCGTCTTTGGGAACTTTCTTTGCGCCTCGTTTACGACCCTTTCTTCCGGCCATTTTGTTTTCTGCTGACCGGTCGCTGACGGGCTGTTTTTGTGAGATTTGGCGCCAAATGTCATGTGGTCGCGAAGGACTGGATCGGTCGTCGCTTTTCTCTGTGTCCGCTGGTCAACACCGCGGCAAAACGTCTACGCATGCGCCAGGTTGAACATTTCCGGTCTCTTTTTCAGTCACACTTTTCAGTCAGATCAAAGTCTCACGCGCGCTCTCGGCTTCATTCTGTGTGCAGCTTGTAGTTCAGTCGTTCTGCTTCATGCTGCTCGTGTTTTTGACTATTTTGTAGTTATAAAATTGCTTTTATGGATAACCAGGCACAGATCACTGAAACAATTAGTCGATTAGATTCAGAAAAGGTAAGATGATAAATTATTTTTGGGTAGAGCGTCAGGTAAACTGATTTTCATTCACGAAAACAAAGTTTTGGACTGTTATTTTTCACTTAACCCGGCTGAAACTAAGACATAAAAAGTTATCATTGCAAGCTTGTGTATTGTAGTTCTAATTTTCAGTTCTTCAATTTCTCAGTCTTCATGTCTTAAAGCCGATTCGAGCTTTATTTGGAAAACGACAACACACATTCGCTTTGTAGTTTTATTTACCAGTGAGTTTTACCGTGTTTTGAAACGAAACTCTTCTGAGTTGATTGCCATGAAACATAAGCCTAATTATACGGTTGAGGTTGGCAGCAAGTTGACAACTCTATTTATTTTTTTCATTCTCAGAATCAGAGAGCGAAAGCTGGTTCGATGGCTTTTAGAAGTCGAACTTTTAATGCCATGTATTTAGCAGCTGGAAGTTTCGTGTTTGCATGAGATGCAGCCGAGCCGCACAGTCTGAAATTATAGAAGTCTTCAACCAAAGAACAACCATGTAAAAGAATTAAATAGGCATTTTCTTGAATGAATGTCACTTATAGGCATGTTTAGTTTCCCAGCACTGAAAGCTCCGGGTCTTCGTGACTGTAGTCATCAAAGGCGAGGTTGTTATTAAATCCCGCACCGCCCTCCCGCACATCTTTGTTTTGAGTTCTTGTTTTCTCTGATAATAAAAAAATTGTTGAACGGACTAAAATTTTATTTCCTGGTTCTAGTGTTAATGATAATGATGACGTCTTTATTTTGGTTTCTTTCATAAGTATTGCCATTCTTTCTTAGTTATCGCCTTCTCCCAAATTAACTTATCCCAAACCAGTAGCATGCAAGAAAGCCAGTAAAAACAAATTCGTCTTGTCGAGCGCTCGCGACCTGCAAACTTCAAACACCATTTTCACCTTTGGTGCAAACAGATATCCATGTGGTGCAAAAGTTTGACACTAGAAAAATATATAAGCTTTCGAATGAAGTGATTTTTTTCGCCCCCTTTTTTGTCTGTTTCTCCCTTTTTGCTTTTAAACTTGGTGCGACGGCAATGTTATGCTTACGCAATTGGTTTATATACTAGACCGGAAATAAAAAGCTTACCGGATGTTGAATTTTTTGCTCTTGCGCAGTGCGTTTTGCCGCGGTGTCCCGCTGGTCACACCACAGGATCCTTTCCCTGTTGGGACAGGTTAATGGAACTCAATGCGCCTATAGATCTGCAACTCCTCAAAGATGTTATAAAGAGATTATCCTATGGATTATCCACACGTGGACTAAAGGTATCCAGAACTTGACATACTAAATTGAATTGCTGTTAATCGAGCTAAAAGGTAATCCCTTGGTGTCCAGATGGTGAGGAGGCAGTTTATAAAAGGTTATTGATGCAAACTATCAACAGTGATCTTTACGAGACAACGGAATTTATATGGAAATTCCAGTATTAGGGGTGACAGCGAGACTTTGTTTTTGAGCAAAACCCATGCATGGTACCTGGGAAGCCACCTTCATCAGCTTCAACAGTACTAACTATCTGAAGGTTATCGGAGTGCCAGAGATCATAGTAGGAACGTTAAGGTCCTTAATTTGCGCTTACTATAGGTTTAATGGGACTATTTTATGTGCAAATTCAAACCATGCATGTCAGGTCATTTAAGTACATAACAGACTTGCTGCTATACAGTAGACAACAGCATACTTAAGAACCTGTCTTTAAATGTTTCCTTTTATCTAATGTCAAATGGAATTGAAGCTACATATTTAATTAATAGGTTCGTTTATTTTAAAAAAATTCCAGTGAACAAAACAAAGCAACTGTGATGATCATAAGGTATAATTTAAAAAAAAAAAAAACTGTAAACGATTCATTGCTGTGTGCTGCTTCTTACTTAGAGGTCGGGAAAGGCGTAACATACATAATACTTTAGCAAAAGAAAATAATGGAACAGAGAGAGAGGCCATGCAGTCTAGACCTTGGGATTTGAGAATTTTACCAAAGCTTTTTTTAGACCAATTGACCGCTTGAAATTAATCGGAGGTCAGTTTCCAGAAAGGTTTGCAAACTTTTCTTCAGTGTTGTCCAGCGAGAATTCAACAGTCGTCATCACAATATACTGCATTTTGCATTGTTTTCTTTGAGGCAGTCATACATGGACTTGATGACGTTTAAAACTGTTGATTTAAATGTGCAGAGGTCTCAGGAATTAGACTTCCGTTTAATTATAACCTCTAAAAATAACTTAAGTGAAATTCCCATATCCCGGCCAATGCTCTAAGGTCCCCTAAGATTCCCTTTCTATGCCATTGTTTTTATTTCCTTTTCTTGTAACAAACTGTCAGTAAATTAGGCATCATTTTAGCAATAGACCCAAAGTTTTATCCACAAAGTGCAACTTTAATAAAAATTTCCTTACCACGACCTCCGTTAATTTTCAATTGTCCATCCCACAGCTTACAGTACTTTTATGCTGTCAAAAGCATGGGCTGCCCAGACTATGGGAGTTAGAATTTAGATTGCGTAAGAGAATGTATGAGAATAATACATCGTTCATTTTGACCTGTTACCGTCTCCTCCCCGGGAATACCCCCCAGGGATTTCCACTTTTTTCTTTCTTGGTGGTCTATTCCCCACCCCCCAGGCTCGCAAGTTACAAGAGAGTAATACAATAGCAAAACCAGACGTTTTGACTAAAACTTTTAAACACGTTTTGTACAGTTTATTGAAACAAGAATAGCACATGTATAATAAAGTAAAAACATGTCTACTAAATTTGAAAAAGAAAACGAAGAAAAACTCTTAAGCTCTTCCTTGAAAGAACGACCAGCGAACAGGACAAGATGAGAAAGTTTCTTAAGACGCTTGTTGTTTTTTCGGACCCTAGTCTCTTTAGCCCTGAGTGCTACCTTGAAATACAGATTTCATTTTGTTTCAGGCTATTCTTGCCCAACCACTTTCCGAAAAATTCCCGCGTTTTCCCTCGAACATAAGCAATCTCGGGATCCGCCCCCATCATGTCAACCGCGCGAGGAATGACGTACTTCACAAAAACAAGGAGAAGCTAGTTTCGATTTGCCCCGCCCCCTGCCCCGGGATAGGACCGCTTTAAAGAAATCCCCACCCCCTAGCCCGAAGGACTGGACTTGTCCCTGGGAGTGCCCGTGGGGATGGTAACAGGGAAAATTGAACCGTGCATAAACAAAATAGGTTATAAACTGAAATGGCTCTAGAAGCGAACTGAAAGTAAGAGACACAACACAAACAAAAGGTCAGGCATTTTTATTCTTTAATCTTTTTAAAGAGCGGAATTTAGCACAACGAACGCCCATATGGTCTGGGCTGCCTGTGTCAATAGGGAAAATTTGCTCAACGCTGATTGGTTACGTTTCTTACCTGGGTTGAACATTGAAAATCTTGTTTTGAGCAGAAAGTTTTATTTTTGGAATCCTTAGTAGATGAGTTGAAGAAAGCGTCTGGCAACCTTTGGAGCCCGTTCTAACCAGTGCCAGCTTTCCGATAAATGAAAGGACTTCCCGACTTAAGGTTTTTCTCGAACTCAGGAGGAAGACGTTCGACATCTTTAATATCATTGTGGACTTTATGGTGAAAAAGTTCTTCTTCGCACGATCATATCTTCACCATGTAATTTAAAACGTTTGAAAGAAAGAATGGGAAAACTCGCGTCCAAATGACTTGTTCAAAACTGATTGGTTGGACTTGAAAACTGTGGAGAGGTTTGGTGATGCATGGACAGGTGAGTTTAAGTTTTTTTCCGTAGAAAAGTGAAACCACTTTAAAACTATTTTTGTTGGTTAACATGCACTTACATTAAGCTTAAGTAAAACACACTCGTCAAACAAAACCTTTAGAAATAAAAAAAATTCATGTTTATATCCCTTCAAAAACGGCAAAACTTATAACTAGCATAAGTTTAAACCTGAATTCAAGCGATCTTCAACTGGCGTTGTTTTTCACGAAAATTGTAAGATTATCAGCTTCCTTTAAGCTGTAAGAGAGGTTTTTTTATTGCCTTTAGAGAACACTTGATTTTAAGCAGCAGATTAGACAAAGAAGGCTAAATTCCACATAAATTCGGAAAATCTTACGATATTTGCCTGTAGAATGTCTTTGCGCGAGCATTCGAAGAAAACTCTTCTTCAGAGCAGCGTTTGTGACGAAATACGTTTCCATAGCCATTCAAAGAAAACAATCATTTCGTTTCAGCTTTTCGTACGTGTGTACTTACTGTCGGTGCGGAGCAGTTTTTGATATTTTTAAAGTGGCTTTTTAGCAAAAAACTTTCAAACCGGCGAGAAGCAAAAACAAACAGCAAAAAATTTAAAAAAAAACAACAAAAAGTCAGTAACCAGTTGAGAAATCGTCTTGTGAAAATCCCTGTGACAATCACGATGGCTTCGGCGAGCGTAAAGTGTGTACAGCAATTATGCAAGGATGTCGTTAGACAAATGAATGAGGAGTGCAGCATACAAACAGAGGACACCAAGGTCTTGAATGTTCCAGAGGAAGCAGAGTTGGATGAAGGCAGTTATAATGGTGAGGATTCCTGGGACGCTTTAGTTGAGTTAATCAAGAAAGAAAACGAAAAGCTAAAGGACCAGCTTACTTTGATGAAGAAAGATCTT